ACCCTTAAACCCTTAAACCCTTAAACCCTTAAACCCTTAAACCCTTAAACCCTTAAACCCTTAAACCCTTAAACCCTTAAACCCTTAAACCCTTAAACCCTTAAACCCTTAAACCCTTAAATCCTTAAATCCTTAAATCCTTAAATCCTTAAATCCTTAAATCCTTAAATCCTTAAATCCTTAAATCCTTAAATCCTTAAATCCTTAAATCCTTAAATCCTTAAATCCTTAAATCCTTAAATCCTTAAATCCTTAAATCCTAAGCCATAGACCCTTAACCCCAACACCTGAATCTCAAGGCAAACTCCTACCTCTAAGGTTGCACATGCCCTATGCCCCGCACTTCGGGTTTAGGGTTAGGGTTTAGGGTTTAGGGTTCAGGGTTCAGGGTTTAGGGTTTAAGGTTTTGGGTTTTGGGTTTAGGGTTTAAGGTTTAGGGTTTAGGGTTTAGAGGTTCGACCTCAAGTTTCATCCGAGCCCCGAGTAGTCCTTGGCCTATGCGCACCTTGCTAGGTAGGTCCTGGCCCTGCTGTATACTAAGAACCCCCCCCAAACAAAAAAACAACATGTATAAAAACAAATATAGATATAATTTATTATATATATATAGTATATGTACATAAAATATTCTTCCTCATGAGGGTAGTATTAGGGGTTCGTAAGCAAGCAGGAGTATAACAAGCCCTAAAAGCCTTCAACCTGAATCTGCTGCCCCAAGCCCGAACCCCAAACCCCCAACCCTAGACCCCAAACCGCATAAACTCCAATTGAGCCCCAAACCCTATAAACCCTAAAGCCCCACCCCATAAACCCATAAACCCATAAACCCACAAACCCATAAACCCATAAACCCATAAACCCATAAACCCATAAACCCATAAACCCATAAACCCATAAACCCATAAACCCATAAACCCATAAACACCATACACCCCATAAACCCATACACCCCATACACCCCATACACCCCAAAACCCCAAACCCTAAACCCAAACCCTAAACCTAAACCCCAAACCCTAAACCCCAAACCCCAAGCCCCAAACCCGAAACCCTAAACCCCAAACCCCAAACCCTAAACCCTAAACCTCATGAGGTGGCGGCAGAGCTGCGGGCCGTCATCGCCACCGCAGCGGCCACCATCGACAGAGCTACCGAGGAATTGCGCGCCCTCCAAGGCTGCGACCGCAGGGTCCAGGGTTTAGGGTCTTGGGGTTTGGGGTTCAGGGTTTAGGGTTTCGGGTTTAGGGTTGAGGGTTTGGAGTTTAGGGTTTGGGGTTCAAGGGGTTTATGGGGGTTTTGCGCTCTGTTTGCCGGGGGCTGCTGGGGGAGCGGCTCGGGATGCGGGCTTGGGTGTATACAGGGTGGGGCACCCTAGTTATAAGTAGAGTTATAAGGGCCCTAAATTGGGTTATAAGGACCCTAAGTTAGGTTATAAGTCCCTTAACTACAGTTAGTATAGTAAGGGGGCCCCACCCTGTAGAGTTTAGGACGCCTATGGTTCAGGGGCTTCGGGGTATGGATATTTTTGGGACCGCTTGTTGTATCCCGAAGGCCTAAACGGGGTCCTCAATATTAGGGTCCCTTTTTTGGGCTTCTGGGTTCACTTATACAGCAACCCCACAAAAAAGGAGACCCTTATTGTAATATGGACCCTGAATGATAGGGGCCGCCTTAGAAAGTAACCCCAAAAGGGTGACCAGTTCTCTTAGTTCGGGTCCTCTGTTCGTGTACACGAAAATGAGCAGTTCTCTGTATGAAGCCCTAGACCCTAAACCCTAAATTAAGGAAGGACATTAACTTAGAGAACTAACCACATTAGACTGGGATTTGCATCTAGGCTTTAGGAATGCCCCTTCTTATGTGGGGTTCATTAGCCAGACGCTGTTGGAGATTTTGACCGGTCTCCATCTACCCCTTCTGAATAACCTCACAAGGGGTTCTCGTGCACATGAAAATCATGTCTATATTGCTGTTCCTACCACGCCTACCAGTCTTTCGTGAGCATGGGATTGGGTTTTCCGGCATGTCTTTTCTTGGCCATTTTCAGGCTGCAAACGTGCGTTGCGCCATTTCCAGGGGTCAAGCAAGCTGTTGCTTGGGGCCCGAAGCGAGCAGAAACAACAAAGAGTCATCTCAGCCTGAGTTCGGAATCAACTGCTTTTTCATTGCACACAAGGAGTTTAAACGTTAGAGCACTTGCTAAAGCAAGAGCCGGGAGCCTTCATTTTGGCTGCCGCTCTTGGTCCATGAATATTTTTTAACAGGGACGACTTCAACTGCAACAACGAAAGTTGTTTACAACTGCGAGCATGCCCGACGACCTTTGTTTGATGATTGCGCACATGGTCCAGCAACAAGTTCACAAGGCGAGCGAGACAAGCAGACACACCAGAGTCATGAAACCTTGACTTGGCATCAGGTGCCCTCAATTTGCACTCAAGGCCAAGTTTGCAGCCTTTCGCTCCAAATTTCAAAAAACAATAACATTCCCTGAAAAAGGAGATGCTGCGCACCCGAAGAAGCTCCTAGCCCTCCCATGTGCTGATAGAAGAAGCATACAAAGAGCTATTTGATTTAAAAAAATAGGCGACTTTAGTATGCTGGGTTTCAGGACCTTAAACCCTCAGGTGTATGTTTCTCAAATGAGGGATATAGGGTGACGCAGGCTCCTGATTTACCGAAGGGCTCTAAAGGCAGTGTCACGGACGCGCTCGTTCAGAAGGGTACGATCCTGTGCACAGCATACCCTCAACCCAAAACCTTAAACCCCAATTCCTAAACCCTGAGTCCGATTGTTGAATCTCACGTCGCAATCGTAGGTTTTGGGGCTTAGGTGTAGGGTATGGGGTCTAGAGTTCCGGCCTTCGAGCTCCGAAAATACGGAAACTGGCACACCACAAACTCCAACCAAGTCTACTGTGTGCCTGCAATCGAAGAACTCCACCCCAATGCCCAAAACTCTAAAGTTTAGGGTCTTGGGCTTAGGCTTATACCTTTAACCGCTGAAGCCTGACCCTGCTAAATCCAACCCTAAACCCTAAACCCTAAACCCTAAACCCTAAACCCTGAACCCTAAACCCTAAACCCTAAACCCTAAACCCCACGTTGCAAAAACTTTCTGCCCAGGGCGCCCGCAAAGGGATCCCAGCCTGGATGCGGCGGCCGCCCAGCAGAAGGCGGTGTTTAGGGTTTAGGGTTTAGGGTTTAGGGTTTAGGGTTTAGGGTTTAGGGTTTAGGGTTTAGGGTTGATGAGGTTTGGGGTTGAGGGTTTGGGGTTTGGGGTTTAGGGCTGGTGCTCTTGGCTGGTTTTAGTAGGGCCCTATTGTATACCCTTTAAGGGATTATATGGGGTTCGTCATTCCCTCATTCCCTACTAAGAACCAGCCAGCGAAACTCCCAACAAACTCCTCCTAACCCTAAACCCTAAACCCTAAACCCTAAACCCTAAACCCTAAAGTCTAAACCCTAAACCCTAAACCCTAAACTCTTCGGCCGTGCCCTTCCCCCTTGCAGCAGGCGAGGGCGCGCTCCGAGGGTCCACTGAAGGAGGCCAGGGGTGTGGCTGGCTTAGGGTTTAGGGTTTAGGGTTCAGGGTTCAGGGTTTAGGGTTTAGGGTTTAGGGTTTAGGGTTCAGGGTTCAGGGTTTAGGGTTTCGGGTTTCGGGTTTAGGGTTTAGGGTTTCGGGTTTCGGGTTTCGGGTTTAGGGTATAGGGTTTAGGGTTGAGGGTTCAGGGTTCAGGGTTCAGGGTTCAGGGTTTAGGGTTTAGGGTTGGGGTTTTCGGCTTACAGGGTTTAGGGTCTCGGGTGTGTAGGGTGTTGGGTTTACAGGATTTAGGGCCTGGGGCTGCGTTGCATTTCATTTTTGGAGGGTTGCTGAAGGAAGTTTGTTAAATCGGAGTTCGAGTTTTTCAGCTGCAGGACACATCCCGTCTTTGCACAGACCCGAATCTGGAGCTATCTGCCGCTTCGCTCCTCAACCCAAGACCCGAATCCCTTAATAACCTAAGTCCTAAACGCTGAAGCGCCTAAGCCCTAAACCCTCAACCCTAAACCAGTTAAACATCCTAAGCCTTAAAACCCTAGATAACGAAGAGTCTGAGTTCGTATACCTTGCCCCTTTTTTCGCCTTCGGCAAAGGGCCCAAGATCCCGCCTGTGTCTCCTGATTCTGCTCCTAAACCCTAAACCCCAAACCCCAAACCCTAAACCCTGCACCCCACTTGATCAGTCCATCCTTCAACGAGCCCGCGGGCGGAGCCTCGACGGCGCCAAGCGCCGGGTGTCTTTCGGCAACGAGGCGAGTTTAGGGTTTAGGGTTTAGGGTTTAGGGTTTAGGGTTTAGGGTTTAGGGTTTAGGGTTCAGGGCTTAGGGCTTAGGGCTTAGGGCTTAGGGTTCTTTAAGGGCCATCCTCGGTTGTGGGCCCAGGGTTGGAGGTCCTAGTGGCTCCTTTTTTAAGGTAAGCCCGGGTTTGGGGGTTGAGGGTTTAGGGTTTAATTAGGGTTTAGGGACCCCAAACAATAAACAATCAGCCCTAAACCCTAAACCCTAAACCCTCAACCCTAAACCTTAAACGCTAAACCCTAAACTCACCCTTTGGGGTTTACGGCTTGGGGCTTGGGTGCTCTGAATACGCATAGGTATAGGTACATACCTGTGCATGCGCACGTACATGCGTATGTATGTGTACTACTGTATAGCAAGCTCACTTGCAGGCATGTGTATATGTATATGTATCATGCCAGCAACTTAGCTTAAGGCTTGTCGGCACATCTATTCGAGCCTGGGGAGATTCAAAGGTCAGGGACAGTGAGCCTCATTTCCTTTCACTGACAGATGCCGATGTTTTGAGTCGTGGCCACTGTGTAGATGGTGACTCGCATGTGTTGCGCCACAATTTGTGAGCTCAAATGCCCGCAGAGCGCCTGTAGCTTGCACTTGGGCGGCAGCGGCAGTGTCCATGGCACTCACTTAATCTTCCTCAGTGGCCACCTGGTTTGAGCATGTTGGCCGCATACTCATCCTTGCTGCAACGATGGCCCCTGACTACCAAGGGCTTCAGTGCCGGCATGCTATTCAGCCTGGGCGATGTCATGGCACAACGCCTAGAGACGGGAAAGGCAGAAGATCTCCAGCGCTTGGTGTCCTTTGGTAGCTACGGTGCCTCTTGGTATGCCATCAGCCAGCACTACTGGTTCGCCTGGATGGAAAGCCACGTGGCGACCAGCCGGCCGCCCGCGCAAGCGGCCGTCGCCCGGGTTTGCGCGCACTCCGCGGTCTTTGCTCCCTTCAGCATCGTGTCCCTCTTCGGTTGGATGGCCATCACCACGGGCCGATCTTTTGAAGAGCTTCAAGATAGTTGCCATCCCGAGGCGGTCTTCCGCGTTTGGGCAGCTGGAACCATCTTCTGGATTCCCACGATGCTGGGCGTGTATCGTTTCGTGCCACTTCATGGACGCGTCATTGTCACTTCGGGCGCGAACGTCCTTTGGAGCTGCTACCTTTCGAAGTCCGCCGCAGACCAACGCAGTGCTTCGATGGAGTCAAGCAATCAAAGTTGGACTAGATGAGCTTGGAAGGCATTTAACCCTACGAATTGCTTAAGAACCCCCGAAAAAGCAAAGAAAATCTTCCTTACAAGGGTAATAGAGGGATCCGTGTTTTGCATTTTTGGGGGTTCTTAAGCAACCAGTAGAACCCCAAACCTTACATGAACCCTCAGCCGACAAGGGGGGTGTGCCATGTCGAACCTCAACCCAAAGCAAAGCTCTGAAACCCCCTCCCAAACCCCAAAGCCCTAAAACCTGAAAAACCCCAAACCCCCAAAACCCTAAGACCATAAAAACCCCAAACCCTAAAACCATAAACACCCCAAACCCCAAAACCATTAAAAAAGCCCTAAACCCTAAACCCCTAAACCCTAGAACCTGAAGCCCACCATCACCGGACATCGATCGTGAATCCATCCGACACCTTCAAGCCTGTGCCTTCAACTCCCAAAGAACGAATCTCGTGGGTTTTAGGGCGTATAGGGGTTTGGAATTCAAGGGTTCAGGGTTTTAGGGTTTCGAGTTTAGGATTTTGAGAAAGGGTTTAGGGCTTAGGGTTTAGAGTTTAGGGCTTACTTTGGCAGCAGGGCCCCGGAAAAAGCATGAAGGACGCGGCGGGCTGCGTACCACAAGCCCCAAAAACCCTCCCTCCTGTGGTTGTTCCTCCCTCAAACCCGACACCCAAAACCCTCAAAATCTTCAAGCCCGAACCCCTAAACGGCAAAATCCTAAACCCACCGAATCCCTAAACCCCTAAACTCTAAGAAAACCCTAAAACTCAAAACCCCGAGCCCTAAACCCTGATTCCTAAACACCCTAGAACCCTCAAACCCAAAAAATCCCCTAACCCTAAACCCTAATTCCTAAACACCCTAAACCCCCAAATCCTAAACACCCTCAACCCTAAACCCTAAACCCTAAACCCTAAACCCTAAACCCTAAACCCTAAACCCTAAACCCTAAACCCTAAACCCTAAACCCTAAACCCTAAACCGCCTTAAGTCCTAAATCCCAAACATCCCTTAAGCCCCCGACCCCGAGATGCCTGCCACAGGAGCGGGACGACGCCTCTGAGGCCCGGCTTTTGGTCGATCTTCTTCGGGTGTGGACTCGTGGACTGAGGGCTTTGAGGTCTTCATTTAGGATTTAGGGTTTGGGGTTTGGGGTTTAGGGTTTAGGGTTTGAGCCTTCTGGGTTTAGAGGGTTTATGCGGTGTTTCTCGGATTTTCAGGGTTTATGTAGGGCTTTTGTAGGGCTTTTGTAGGGCGCATGTAGGGTTTATAGGGTGCTTATAGTGTTTGTGGGGTTTATTTTGTTTTCCGGGGTCATCGGGTTTTAGGGTTCATGTAGGGTTTGTAGGGCTTGTAGGGTTTATAGGGTTTATGGGGTTTATGGGGTTGATGGGTTTATAGGGTTTGCAGGGCTTCTAGGTTTTTTACGGGGTTTACAGGGTTTTGTAGGTTTATGTGGGGCTTACAGGGTTTGCAGGGTTTACAGGGTTTATAGGGTGTTTGGTTGCTGTAGGTTTTAGGGTTGCTTGCTTGAGAATTCCCTAGACCCTCTGAAGTGTAGCTCTTCTCTCTTTTGTGATGTGGGGTTTAGTTTTATGATTATATTAATATTAACATTATCTATATTATTATCATTATTATTATTATCATTATTATTATTGTCATTGTCATTATTATCATAATTATTATTTAATAATAATTATTATGTTTTTGGGGGAGTGGGGGCTTATGCTAGAACCCAGAGTAGGCCTTCATTCCCTCTTTTGAAGGCTTAGGTTCCACGAGCCCCCTGTAAACCAAAACGGGGCACCTTGTTTATTTCTAGGTCCTAGGTTTACTCTTGGGTCTAGCTTATCCCTAAGCCCTAAACCCCAGACCCTGAAAAGCCCAAGCCCTAAGCCCTGAACCCTAAACGCCAAACCCTTAAAACCCGAAGGCCTAAACCTTATAAGCCGCTACAGTTGGGATGTTCCCCTTTATACTAACAGTCCTCAATAGGGATTTTAATCAGGGTACTATCATCCCGTAGCATAAGGGGGGAACATCCCAACCCGAAACCTTAAGCCCCGGCCATGTACGCTCGCAAGGCGAATTTGCCGCCTTACAGCTAAGTCGAGCAAATCGAACCCGAAACCCGAAACCCTAAACCCTAAACCCTAAACCCTAAACCCTAAACCCTAAACCCTAAACCCTTGTTTCGTCGAGTTTGTTCAGGGTGGCCAGGTACCCAGGGAACCTTCGGGAAGCTTAGGGAGCCTTCGGGAGTCGTGGGGAGTATCAGGGAACCTTGGGTTACACCCCCCCCCCCCCCGAACCCTAAACCCCAAACCCCAAACCCCAAACCCCAAACCCCAAACCCCAAACCCTAAACCCTTGTTAACCCTCAACTCCCAACCGTCAAGCCTAAACCCTCCCTTCAGGACCCTATGACATACCCCCCTTGAACCCCTCATTAAGAGCCCTCTAGCAACCCTAAACCCTTAATCCTAAACCCTAAACCCTAGACCCTAAACCCTCAACCGTAAACCCTAAACCCTAAACCCTAAACCCTAGACCCTAAACCCTAAACCCTAAACCCTGAACCCTAAACCCTGAACCCTAAACCCTCCTCCCTTAAGAACCCTATGGCTGTGGTAGGAGGACTACGGATTTGCGCCGCCCCACGCCGAGCCCGAGCCCGAGCTCGGCACGTTCGACCGCAGGGAGGCCGGGGCCGCAAATGCGGGTCGTTTTGTAGGGTCTGGGGTTTAGGGCTAGGGTTTAGGGTTTGGGGTTTAGGGTTTAGGGTTAGGGCTTGAGGGTTAAGGTTTAGGGTTTACGGTTTAGGGTTTAGGGTTTAGGGCTGTGGGGCTTCGCTTAAGGCTGTTGGGGTCGGGGGGGGGGGGGGGGGGGGGGGGGGGGGGGGGGGGGGGGGGGGGGGGGGTGGGCTAAAGACCGGAGAGGATGCTGTCAGGCACCGTGCCCGCTTGGCCCTCGCACAGAGCCCAATCTTCTCATTAAGGGCAGTGGTCAAAATTAGGGTCCCTTGTTACACCCTAAATATTAGGTGCCGTATTATATTAGGGACCCCAAAAGGGACGATCATTTTGACAATCACCCTTTTGAGGGCCATTTCTTGTCATGTGCGTGTTTCGGAACCCTAAAGCCCTAACCCCTAAGCCCGAAACCCTAAACCCTAGATCCAGTTTGTTTGTATATAATATATATATATATATATAATATATCTATATAATATACATATATATATATATATATTCCTGATCATCAACCCTAAGGCCTCTGCCTTTGAACCAACCCCCCTAAACCCGAAACCCTAAACCCCAAGCCCTTGCGCATCGTGGACAGGATCGCAGATCCGGGCCCACCTGCCGAAGGAGCGACTGCGCCAGGCAACCGGGGTTTAGGGTTTAGGGTTTAGGGTTTAGGGTTTAGGGTTTAGAGATTAGAGTTTAGGGTTTAAGGTTCTCGGAGTCTACATGGCACAGCCGCGATTCAGTTTTGTAGGTGTGAAGTGCTGTTTGGCATCCTTGTCCTTCCACCGAGAGTAGTTAGACGCATTCAAGAAGGTCCTCAACAAGAAGACGTAGGTTTGAGCTTCGTATCTCTGGATTCCTCGACTTACCTAACTCGCTTCCTTACCTTCCCACACAAAATCTGCTTCACAGGAACGAGCTCAACGCACAAAACGTCTCACGCGACATTTACCAAACAAATATACAGTGCTGCTTGTCCAGGATGTGAACATATGAGCTTCCCGCACAAAGGTCGATCGTGGTTGTATCAAAGGTGTAGGTGATTATGTTGCAAGCCAAGATAACTACATCTTTCTTGCCTGCATCTTTGTTTCGTTTCAGAAGTGGCTTGAACCTGTATGCAGCCAGGCTCACCTAAAACCTTCACGAGGCCTTGTGGGCCTTTTAAACCCGGCGGTTCCTCTCACTGGTGGAAGTCCGCGCATGTGCAGAAAATGCAAGATCTTGTATTTAGGATTTGGGGTTTAGGGCTCTTAGGGTTGTGTAGGGTTTAGGGTTTAGGGTTCAGGGTATAGGGTTTAGGGTTTAGGGTTTGCTAGACTCAGTGTTCTTTGGGGGCTCACCGAACCCAGCTTCGAATCAGGTCCTTCCCTGGCAAGGCACTTGGCTCGCCGCCGCCGCAGCGAGCGAGGAAGGCGGACAAGGGGGCATAGGGGGAGAAAGCAAGAGCCTCCTCAACCCCAAGCCCCTGTCATGAAGCCCTATACCTTGAAGCACTAGAAGCCCTAGTCCCCTAAACCCTAAGCCCTAATTCATCCCTAATTCCCTAATCCCCTGAACCCAAAATCCTTTAAGCCCCAAGCCCGACCTTTCAGTTGGAGCAAGCCCCTAGCTCATGTGGTTTGTCCGTTCGCGGCGCACCTGGGCCGAGGGTGAATGTTAAGCTTGGGCTCAGGGTTCTGAGTTCAGGGTTCGGGGTGTTGGGTTTAGGGTTTAGGGTTTAGGGTTTAGGGTTTAGGGTTTAGGGTTTAGGGTTTAGGGTTTAGGGGTTAAGGTTTAGGGATCAGGGATGTTCGGGGTTTCTAGGGCCCATAGGTTCCATGTGGTTCACGGTCGCATGCTGGTACTCGGAACCCTTTCTCCCGCAGCCAGAACCCCCAAGATCAGGAACCGATCCATCCACACAGGCCCAGCAGGGACCAAGGCATCAACCCTTGTGGTTCACGACATGACCGCTTAGGTACCTGTGCCCCTTAGTAGTCTATCCCCCAAAAAGGGGCCCCCAGCAACGCTTGAGCAACGCACCAGAGAAAGTTCCTGCGCAGGCGGCCGCCACGAGCGTGGAACGATCCGGCCTTGACGCGAAGCCTCAGCAGAAGCGGGTCTGGCGGGCCGGAAGGAGTGTTGGGCGCCAAAACCAGTCACCATTCCTTTCTGGGGGTACCCTAAATCCTCAACTCGAAATATCTGTACCCAGACCTCCTGGGAGGATCCAAAAAGTCGAACCCCCAAATAGTCGAAACTACTATTGGGTCAT